CTGGAGAAACCCACAAGGACGGATGGAACCATGGGGAAACAGCAGTAAACAAGAGGCATCTGCCTGGTTTGGGAAGTAAATGGATGTGTGGTTAGTTACTCTCCCAAGCAGGTGGAGAAGCTGAGATCTAGGTGCCTGCAGAGAAGGCAGACGAGAGAGCCAGTTCACCTGGCCACAGGGCTCTGGAGAGACTCAGGAGTGGGAAGGATCTGGTAGGGGTGAGGAGTAGAGCTACAGGTTCATGCCCTGGCCAGCTGGCTCAGTTGGTTAAAAAATTGTCCCATACACCAAAAGGTTGCAGGTTTGATTCCTGGTCAGGGCACATAACTAGGTTGTGGGTTCGATCAGGGGTCAGAGTGTGTATGGAAGGTGACTGATCAATGTTTCTCTCTCACATTGTTGGCTCTCTCTCTCTCTCTCTCTCTCTCTCTCTCTCTCACACACACACACACACACACACACACACACACACACACACAATAAAAAAGGCATATCCTTGGGTGAGGATTTAAAAAAAATAAAACTGCAGGTTCACAAAATTCCTTCCCGCAAATTTCCTGAAATTAACAAAAGTGGAAAAATAACAAATCATGTCATCAACCCTGAAACCAAAAAGAGATCTCAACTTTATACCATAAACTTTGAGAAGTGTCATCCAAAAATAAAAACTTGGACCAATTGAAAGAAGGTGCTAAAAAAAAACAACAATCAATATGTTTGCCAAAGAAAAGACTGGAACATGGTGAAGTACAGGAGGGAATTCTGAGAAGCTTTGCTGCTTTTCAGGGCTCTGGCTTTTAGTATAAAGCTATACCAGAGGGAAGACATAGAACAACCCACACCTTCACTGGGGACCCTTTCTTCCATCAAGAAAACGTCTTCCCTTAGGCAAGAAAAGTCAAGGAAGTTTACCATCTTTCCTGCCTCTGATGCATCAATACATGGGCAAGGAATAGGGGACGCGTCTGCTAGGAATAATTATTACAGCCACAAGAAAAAGCTCCACAAGACATAGCAAATAGAGGTCAGGAGCCTACGCTACCCCCAGGCGGCGGAGCAGACCTCTGATGCTCTCCTTTTATTTGTATCAGGGAAGGAACTCAATGACCCCTGTGCCCCAGCTCTCTGTTCACTCTGCTCGAGCAGCTGAAAGATGGGATGAGGCATATAAATCATGGACATCCCGTCCATGTGATCCATGGAAGAATAAAATCAGATCCAATCGGAAACTATTTGGGGTAGATGGAATGCTGAGAAGGAAAGATTTCAGGTCATATTGACATATGACTAATGCAAACGAATTCTGCATATACCAAAGGAGACAAAAATTCAAATACTCATAACAACCAATGTATATAGGGTTCCAGCTCCCACCAGGCACTATTTGGTGTGCATTGTCTCCTTTAGTCCTCATAATAGCACTACAAGGTAAGCATCGTTATCATCCCCATGTTTACAGATAAGAAAACTAGGTTAGGAGCTTGCCCAGGTTAAACCAGCTGGTAAGAGGGGGGTCAGGACTTGAACACAGGCAGTCTGAGTCCAGGGCCTGTTCTCATCTGCTCTGCTCTTCTCCATCACAAAACACACAACATTGTGGGCACCTGCTTTGTACTCTCAGATTAAAGAGAATAGAAATTCACTGGCCATGCACCCTTTCTTGAAAGCTTCTGGAGGGAGGAAAACCAAGAAAAAGAAACACTTGCGCTCAGGAATCGGGAATCCAACAGGAAGAGTACAGTCGCCTGAAGAGGAATGTGAAAGAGAAAGGTTCGATTGATGGGCTTGACAACTGGAAAAATTGTTGACTATTTGATGGGTCTATTAGAGCATTTGGCATTAACCGTAGGTGTCCTATATAATGAAAGGGTAATATACAAATTGACCCTAACGACGGAATGACCAGTCACTATGATGCACACTGGCCACCAGGGGGCAGACGCTCAACGCAGGAGCTGTCCCCCTGGTGGTCAGTGCACTCCCACAGGGGGAGCTCTGCTCAGCCACAAGCTGGGCTGACAGCTGCGAGTAGAGCAGCGGTGACGGGAGCCTCTCCCACCTCCTCGGCAGCGCTAAGGATGTCTGACTGTGGCTTAGGCCCGCTCCCCAGGGACATCCCCCGAGGGCTCCCAGGTTGTGAGAGGCACAGGCCAGGCTGAGGGACCCCCCTTCCCCAAGTGCATGAAAATTCGTGCACCGGGCCTCTAGTATAGTAAATAAAGCAGACTTTTAAAATAAGACAGCTGTTAACAACAAGTTAAAACAACTTTCCCTGACATAGTAATGAGAGGGAAGTCTTATTATATAGTGGTGAATCAAATTAATATGGAATATGAATATAGTATTTAAATTGTACTATATAACAATAATATAAACACTGTCGACTTTAAATTTTTAAATGTAATTATTATGGGGATGATAAAGGAGAGGTTCGAGTGATGGCAAGAGAGCTACATCACCAACTTCTGTAATTTGGGTATGTCTGAAAGGATCAACCAAGAAATAATAGTGTGCGTGATATTAGTAAATACCAGAAGAAGCGGTTAAAGTTGTTTGTGTGGAATGGGACTTCGAGGTGGGGTTAGGTGGGCAAGGGGAAGAGCTATTGTCTTTTTTCTGTAGCATTTCTGTATTATTTGATTTTTTCAACTAGACTAAACCAAGAATACAGATGACATTTTAAAGGTTGTAAAAAAAAAAAAAAAACACCTATGCCTTAAAAAGCACTTACTTATAAAATGTTTTTTTTCCAAATTGCTAAAGCATCTAACCAAAAACATTTTAATAAGAAGCTCTATAAAACACTTCTTGGAAATTAAATATTTTTTTATATATAGATGTAGCTCCAGGGAGTCTTACTTTCCTTCCTCTTAAAAGAAAGGCAACAACAGTATGAAACTTTAAAAATGTGTTTTCTTTAAGAAATTGAATCACAGACGTCCACCCTGTAATTGTATTCTTTTGGTTTTTCAAGATACTAAAGAAGGAACCTTTATTTTAGTGCCTGGGTGGAGGCGTAACAAAGCCATTTGTGGGATGGATTCGGCTACAGAGCAGGGGGCCCTTTTGACTAAAAAAGGTTTCTGTACCGAGGCCACAGAGTGAGTTTCCATTGCCCCATTGTCTATATATTCTGTTTATATGTGAACTCGAGGTTCCTACCACAGACTGCTCCTCGTCATGTTTTCCTTCCACATCATGGTTTTCCTGGACCTGTTGGTTCCTCTTTGGGGCCCCCTGATGACCTCCTCGCATGGAGCAAGCAAACAGATCTATTGTGCAGCAGGCTGAAAAGGGAGAACATTGCAAACATATGGTGCCAATTTAGGAGTCTGCACCAAGAGACCCAAGATGACTGAATAAAAGAGGCGTTGCATGAGTTTTTCTGAGAGAAACTGGTGGGCACAGTTGGGGATTTAAGAAGAAATAAAAAAAACCCGAAGGAACCTGGGGAACCCATACGGTGGGCTTTGAACTAGAGGTTGCAAATCTTGGTCTTCAGAGGCCAGAGACAGGCAGGGAGATTACACCCCCGGCCTGAGAATTGGGATGGTCACTTAAGAAGCAGCAGTAAGTAACTGGAACATGATGGTGGTGTACACAGGAGTTTATTGTCAAAGAAAGCAGTTAGTCGTTTGAGCTGTTGCAGACTGTGGTAGCAGAAAGGAGAAGAAGGGTTTGTACTGGAAATATTGTGGAAGCAAGACTTGGGGTGGTGGTGGAGAGCATATATAGGGAAAGAGCCATTGATGAAGATTACACCAGCTTTCTCTTTGCTTGAGAGATTGAGAAGTATGGGAACCTAAAAAATATATAAGTATCTCTGCCTGGCTGGTGCGGCTCAGTGGTGAAACATCGACCCATGAACCAGGAGGTCACGGTTCAAGTCCCAGTCAGGGCACATTCTTGGATTGTGGGCTCGATCCCCACTAGGGGGTGTGCAGGAGGCAGCTGATCAGTGACTCTCTCTCATCATTGTTTCTATCCCCGTCTCCCTCTCCCTTCTTCTCTCTGAAATCAATAAAAACATAAATATATATATTTCCGACTTCCCCATGCTTGAATAAAGCTGGCATTGAGCCCTGGCCGGGTAACTCAGTTGGTTAGAGCATCGTCCCCATATGCCAAGGTTGCGGGTTTGGTCTCCAGTCAGGGCACATACGAGAATCAACCAATGAATGCAGAAATAAGTGGGAGAACCAATTGATGTGTGTGTGTGTGTCTATATATATATATATACATCTCTCTCTACCTCCCTCTCTCCCCCGTCTTCTCTCTGTCTAAAAATTAAAAAAAAAGCTGGCATTGAGACATTTATATATTGTCTGATTTCTGAGCACTGAAAAGATTTTATCAACGATTCATATGGTATTGGTCATCTGTTTTATGTTTTTTGTTTTCTAAATATGTTTTTATTGATTTTGGAGAAGAAGGGAGAGGAAGAGAGAAACATCACTGATGAGAGATACTGGTCATCTGTTTTGCCCTTCCTGCAGGAACACATCTAAATCCTAGGGGGTTTACACAGCACCTGGAGAGGGGCTGCGTATAAGTCAGTTTGTAAATGCAGTGTGGCATTGCCCTAGTGGCCAGTGTACATAATCTGTGTAAAGCCAGGCTTCATAAGAGAACTACAGATGTTGATGGCTTTTGGTTTTCTGACTCATCTTGTTTCCTTTCAACATTTATCCAACATTATTTGTAGTTTGGCGTTCTTCTGTTCATGCCCATAAAGTTAAAACAGGACTCTGCTTCAAACTCAGCAGGCACTCCAGTGTAGACAGTGCTGGGATAGACAGCTGGACCAGAATGACGGGCCCGACTCCCCACCGCCACCTGTTGGTGGCTGGCAGAATTGACATGTTTGGCTCTGGTTGATTTGAGTGGCACATGCAAGTTCTCCCGTTGAGTTTATAAGCAGAGGAGCTTCTATGATTTCAAAGTGACCTACTACTCAGGCAGCCAGCAACACTTTTCTTTTTCTTTTCTCTGTCGTGAAGGTGTGGCGGGGCACGCTGGCCCGCATGCGGTACAAGAGGACCAAGGCAGCCCTGACCATCATCAGATACTACCGGCACTACAAGGTGAAGTCCTACATCCACGAGGTGGCCCGGCGCTTCCACGGCGTCAGGACCATGAGAGACCACGGGAAGCACGTGAAGTGGCCAACCCCTCCCAAAGTTCTTCGCCGCTTCGAGGAGGCCCTACAGGCCATTTTTAATAGGTGAGAACTTGCTCGTATGTGCTGCCTCCGTTTATGGCAGCACACTTAATGTGTCATATAAAAATCACAGTTCTTCAACCAGGAGACTGGCTCAGCTATTTGCTGTTCAAATATGTCTCCAATTTTGTAGACTTCGATTTCACAAGGCATCTGTTTCCCTCTCAAAATAGCAGAACTGTCCATTGATTTTTTTTTTCCCTGTAGCCATATAGATAGCAGCATGCTGCCACCCCTGGATCAAGCCATATTGAAGATGTTACTGGCATGCAGACTCTACTTTCTTCTCGTAGCAAAAAATAGCTATTAAAATCACCGCAAATAACTCAAACTAGGATTTCTGTCCATCCTTTCTGCACAGTGGTTGTCTGTCCTGCTTACCTTAAATTCACAAGGAGTTTATAATACATGCCACTGCCCAAGTCCCACCTCCAGAAATACCTGTCTAATGGAGCTGGGGCGTGGGGGCCCAAACAGAAGTCCTTTTTAAAGTTTCCCAGGAGATTTTAAATTACAAGGGAGGAAACAACTGTTTTAGAGCACCAAGTATTTTTTAAATAAACAAGCACCTGTGTAAAATTTGATACCTTTCCATCCAGTCTTCATTTTTTTAAACTGTCCTGAATCTGAGTGTTTAGTTATTTATAACTCCTTGCTCCTGATTGTTTGAGCTTATTTGTTGCCAATGTGCACCAGATACACTTAGCTTTGTCTTAGGTGCAGCTGTCTAGTCCCATAAGCTAAGCTAATGGTCCTCAAATGCGGTCATTTGGTGGCATAATGGTCCACGTGGAACACTGAAGTCATTGAGCGATTGGATGTAAATTGGTGGCAGATGTCAGAAGATAAAAAAGTGCATGGGAAGAAAATTTTATATTACATATCTCATTTGCTTTACAAGAAAAAGAATGACTGCTCATAAAAAGAAAGAAATCAAACAGTGCAGATTTATTGAAAGCAAAAGTACCTAAACTCTCAAGTGTAATGCTATCAATGTTAGTTGTAGTCTTGGCAGTCTTTTTAATGCACGGATAAGTGTTTCTTCATGAATTGTATTCTCTGCAACCTGCATTTTTTACATAATAATCTAAAATGTAATTAAGTGATACATGACTACATGCTCATTTTTTTAAAAGTGAAATAACATAAAAATATATAGGATATAAAGTTGAAATCCTCCACATCTCCTCTTGTCTCTCCCCATTTTATTTCTATTCCCTGAAATAACCACTCATTAACAATTAGTTTATATCCTTCTAAATCTTTGTCCTTGCACTTACAAACACACACATGTAAGAGACAGCATGATGTAATGGTTAGGAACACAAACCTGGAGCCTGGGTTCATATTCTAGCCCTGCCACTGAACAGCTGTGTAACCTTGGGCAAGTTCGTTAACCTCTCTGTGCCTCAGCTTCCTTATCTGTAAAAGGACGGTAACAATAGAACCTGCTCATAGGGTTGTTGAAAGAATTATGAGTAAATACATATGTAAAGCATTTGCTCATTCTATGAGTGCATATGCATCTAGAGTCACATATAATTTTGAATTTTCCCCCTCTTTTACACAAGCGAGATTATAAGTATGGTTATATGACTTGACTTAGAAATAAGTCTTGAAGACCTGTGCATGACAACAAATAAAGATCTGAGTAATATTTTTAATGGATGCAAAGAATTATTGGTTTCGATTATGTTGCTCTGTGGCCTGTACAGTCTTCCTTAGATTTTTGAGGTTTTATGTATGGCCTAGAATTGACTAGTTTTTGTAAAATTTAGTGGCAATATACACTCAGCACCTGCTGTGCCACAGGCTCTGACCTAGGTTCCAGGTATATGGTGACAAACAGCCAAGATGCAAACGACGGTCCCAGGCATCTTAGGGCTTGCAGTCAATGAGCATTTTGAAAAGACTGCGCCTGCTCAGTTTATTGACTTGTTTTCTCTCTCTCTCTCTCTCTCTCTCTCTCTCTCTCTCTCTCTCTCTCTCTCTCTCAATGAATCTTGCTAGTTGTATTAATCTAGTCCAAAGGAAAACTTTTTCTGTAAAGAGCCAGAGAGTGTATATTTTGGAGGCATTTTACTGTTTTTAGGGTAGCATGCAAGCAGTCTGGGTTCATTCTACTTCATGGCAGCTTCTTGTGTTTGAGAATGAATGGTCTTGTGTTTCTGCAGTTGAATACATTGTGTTTATTTACTCGTAGATGGCGAGCATCTCAGCTCATCAAGACCATCCCTGCTTCAGACCTGCCCCAGGTCAGGGCAAAGGTTGCGGCCATGGAGATGCTGAAGGGTCAAAGGGCTGACCTTGGGCTCCAAAGAGCCTGGGAGGGCAACTATCTTGCTTCGGTAAGTGCAGGAGAACTTGGGTTCACTCCTGCTCCCTTAACAAACAAAAAAAAGGAGAAGAATTTTTCTCCAAGAATTTATAGAAAAACTGACACCTTCAGAAACTAAATCCTATGAGCAACACTAAACTAAAAGTTTTATTGTTTCCAAGTGTACAACAGGTGACGTTTCCCCCACGTTAAAAAGGGTGTTCTGTCTCCTATCTGTGTGTATTAGGTACACACTATACCATGGCTTTGACCATTTAAACCTTCCCTTGCATAACTCAGCAACTATTTTTAACTATCACCTTTATATCAGTTATTCCCAAAGCTCTGTTCCACCCCCTCTCAGATCCCTTATTTTAAATTTTTATAGGACTTTTGTTGTTAAAACAGCCCTTTAATAGCTTACCACCTGGGATGGGGAGGTAAAAAGTAAGCGTGTGCAACGTCATGAGCTTAGTAATAAAGCCGTGCCCTAAAAGCTCACTTTTTCATCTGAAATGCTAAGCATCATCATTCGATCACACTTCCTGTCTCTTTCAGAAGCCAGATACACCTCAGACCTCAGGCACTTTCGTCCCCGTCGCCAATGAACTGAAACGGAAGGACAAGTACATGAACGTCCTCTTCTCCTGTCACGTCCGTAAGGTAAGGCGATGCTGAGATAGACCTCCTCGGTAGGAAGAGGCTGCTTCCGATGCAGCGCCCTGAGACACGCCTTCAGTGAAACATAGCAATAGGCGCACCGCTGGCTCTGTCCTCAGGAGGCTGTGCCTGTCCGAGGGAGGCATGGTTGGAAGGGCAGGGGAGACTGCAGTGTCCAAGTCAGGCTATCGGCTTCATAAGGGAAGTGGATATTTTTAGCAACCATTCTTCTTAAAACAGGAGATGGGGGACCTCCTAGAGGTCAAGGATTTGTATTTTACTGAATATCTATCTTTCAAACACATACTAGTCTGCCTATATTTAGTGGTCATTGAGTACTTTTTTATACATGTTTTATTGCTGGGTTTTTTTAAAAAAATTTATTGATTTCAGAGAGGCAGGGAGAGGGATAAAGAGATAGAAACATCAGTGATGACAGAATCATTGATCAGCTGCCTCCTGCACACCCCCTACTGGGGATTGAGCCCACAGCGCAGGCATGTGCTTTGTCCAGGAATCGGACCCGTGACCTCCTTGTTCATAGCTCAATGCTCAACCACTGAGCCACGCCAGGGAGAGGGAGGAAGAACGTAGTTTGGAAAAGTGAGAAGGACATAGTGAGATTCGGAAGGGATGGGGAAAGGTTATGTGCTAGGGATATATTTGCTCATCTGGAGCAGGATGTGTGTGGACTGTTATTTACCTGGAGATGAGAGCAGCTGGGCGAGTGGAACAGGTGGAAGTTGGAATGTGGAAGGCAAGGGACATAGTTGGTTTTTTAAAAACATTTGTTTAGAAAAAGAGAGAGAGGAAATTGAAATAACTATAAAAGAACATTTTGTAAAATTATGCAAATAAAATTATGCAAATAAATTTTAAAATGTTAATTAAGTGGGTGGACTTAAGAAAAACATTACCTAGATTAACCCCAAGAGAGATTTTGATATAAATACACCAATATTCGCAGGAGGAATTAAGAAAATATCAAAGAGTTACCTCACAACAAAGGTTCAGGTTTAGGTGATTTTAGAGGTCTTTTGTTTCACATTTTCAAAAAATACATAATCACAGTGTTATTCAGATCAAAATAATGAAATGATATTTTTCTATATAAATGTGGGAAACTTTAAAATGTTAATAACAACGAGCGTTTGCAAGAGTTTAGAGAAACACTGTTGGTAGGTCATAAAACAAGCCTCAGTAAATTTAAAAGGATTGAAATCGTACAACGCATATTCTCTGACAATAATGGAGTAGAATTAGGAAAGAAGAACAGAAAGCAATTTCGGGGATGCACAGATAGGTGGAAATTACGTGACACACTCCTGAGCAACCAGTGGTCAAAAAAGAAATCACAGGAAAATCAGAACATTTGGAAAAGAAGATACAACATAGCAAAACTTATGGGAGGCAGTGAAAGCCATCTTAGAGGGAAATGTAATTCCTATAATAGAAGAGATGACAGATCTCATATCAATAGCCTAATCTTCTACCTTAAGACACTGCTAAAAAAAAAAAAAAAAAAAAAAAAAAAGCTAACCCAAAGCAAGCAGGAAAATAAAATAGTAAAGATTAGAGCAGAAATCAATAAAATAGAGAATATAAAAATAATAGGAGATAAAACAACAAAACCAAAAGTTTTGATTTTGACAAATCTTTAGTCGGACTGACCAAATACTATAATAGAAGAAGGAGATTGAACTATTCATGAAGTTCAAAAAAACATAACTGCTGGCGTTCAGACATTCAAGTCAATGTAATATAAACTTTTAACAAAATAGGAAGCAGTCTGTTTTGAACTTAGAATGAAATAAATATCACCAAGGAAAGTTTGCTGGTATCTCAGAGTGGCTACCAAAGTCCCGAGTCTAATTCTGAGCTGAATTCAGAAACCCTAGTTTATAAGTGTACCTAGGATTGATCAGCCAATCAGGAAATGACTAATCAGGAAATGACTTTTGCTAACCAGATTTCATTGACCCGCACAAAAAAAACCGGTTTGGCTCAGTGGATAGAGCGTCGGCCTGCAGACTGGAGGGTCCCGGGTTCGATTCCGGTCAAGGGCATGTACCTTGTTTGCGGGCACATCCCCAGTGGGAGGTGTGCAGGAGGCAGCTGATTGATGTTTCTAACTCTCTATCTCTCTCCCTTCCTCTCTGTAAAAAATCAATAAAATATATTTTAAAAAAAAAAAAGTATAAGCCCTAATGCCAGTAAATTTAACCAAGGAATGTACCATTCCAGCCATTTCCGCGAGTCCTCATTTCTACTATATCGGATACTTCCTCTCTAGAATCATGGTAACTATGAAGTCACATTAGTAATCAGGACAAGTGATCAAAGACCGTTGGGTGGTGTTGACAGTCATCCTCTACTCTGGAAAAGCCTGGTGCCTCTGATTCTTTCTCTCCGGGGGTGACAATGGGATGTCTAACGGCATGTCTCTCCCTGGCTCCTCCTGGATAAAAACTGAAAAATTCTTAGCCATGCTCCTGTATTTCTTTTCTTTTTTTAATATATTTGTATTGATTTCAGAGAGGAAGGGAGAGGGGGAGAGAGATAGAAACATCAATGATGAGATAGAATTACTGATCAGCTGCCTCCTACACGTCCCACACTGGGGATCGAGCCTGACTGGGAATCAAACCGTGACCTTAGAGTTCATAGGTCAATGCATTACCACTGAGACACACCAGCTGGGCTCTATTTTACTCTTTATTGCTCTTCATTTTTGTCAAGACTAAAAAATATACTTTGGTTATAAGGATATGTTTAGAGAATTGACTGATTTCTAAAGCTATGAGGCGAAAGGGAGAAGACTGAATAAAATTCAAACTGAAACTTGCATTTTAGTTTGCTATCTTTTACCTATGGCAATATATCTTCTGTGTCCCATCCACCTGTCGTAATTTACTCAGGTGTGTATCCTACCAACACTGTCGATGTTTTCAAATGAATCTCTTAACTTCTTTGTTGCATCTTAAAAATAAGATCTTGGAAGCAGGGATGGAGGTTTATATATCACAACTGTGCCTTCTATTCTACTTAGTGGAGGGTTTTTAGTGGTCTTTTTTGTTGTTTCGTTTTACTTTGCTTTTCCTTCTAATCACTGAGAAACATGACCTTGTAGTTCCTCAGAATTTTTTTTTGAAATTAAAAAAAATCTTTTAATTTATTGATATTAGAGAAAGAGAGAGAGAAAGGTGGAGAGAGATTTGTTGTTCCACTTATTTATGCATTCACTTCTTGATTCTTGTATGTGCCCTGACAGGGGATCGAACCTGCAACCTTAGTGTATCCAGACACCTCTCTGACCAACTGAGCTACCCAGCCAGGGTGTTCCTCAGAAATTTTTAGTGCTCAATACCTTGATTTAAATATTACCCAAATCTAAAATTAAAACCTGCTGGTCAGCAAGTAGCTAACTGCATATTTATACAGTGTCCCTTCATTAATCTGTTAGAAAAAGATGTGCCTACAAATGTGAGCATTTCTGACTCGCTAGTAAAGTAGCACTCTACAGAATCACACACACGTACATTTCCTCCCAATCCCATTATCTAATTTTATTTTCTTTATACATTGTATGAAATTATTTTCACTTACAACCTTCTTATCTGTCTCATCTCCATCTGCTGTACTAATCTCAGATTTGTACCATAACCAAGGGCTTTCTGTCATTCCTTGGTATATCATCAGCAACTTATAAAGTACTTGAAAATGCACACTGTAAATTTGGGGGAAGAAAAAAATTTATCAAATCACTTAATTCAAGTAAATATTTACCAGTATAATTTTTTTAAGTTAATAGGTGTTGTATACTGGATTAACAAATGTAGAAAAATTAATTCAGTTCCAATCTCACAACAAAATTGTGAGTCTAAAGATTTTTTAAGGGTAGCTATTATCAAGTCATATGCACGGCAAACACAGGCACAGATCCGTTTCTGTAGGCACGTCTCGCTCAGGACAGTCCGTCTGGCTGCCAGTACTCTGTGTGCATGGCCTTGTCGTGATGGCCGGCCGTGGAACTTAAGACACTGATGGCATTTGTGGAATATAATGAACAACATAAACTGATGAACAAAAATAGATCCAGAGACATAGAGGCATCGACCAGACTGTCAAACCTCAGAGGAAAGGCAGGGGAGGGTGGGAGGAGGGGGAGGGTAAGAGATCAAAGGACTTGTATACATGCATATAAGCATAACCAATGGACACAGACAGTAGGGGCATGAGAGCATGTGCTGAGGGGTGGGAGCGTCTGGGGAGAGGTCAATGGGAGGAAAAGGAGGCATATGTAATACTTTAATCAATAAAAAATTTAAATTTAAAGAAAAGACTCTGACGGGAAAAATTAAACTCATTGGAAAAAAAAACTCTTTATGAGAAATGACAATATACAAATAAATCTCAACCATTCCAGCCAGGAGAATGAATAATTTCAAATCAGCGATCTGTGTGCTTCCATAGTGCCTGCAGCATTAGAGAGCTTTTTATTAAAGAGGTGGCTTACTCATAAAGGGCACGCAGCCCCAGGTACATAAAAGCAAGCCGCCCACAGTTCCTTTTTCAGTGCAGAAGTCATGGTTTTCCAGGACCAAACTGGGCAATGGGGATTACGCTATTGAGCACCTGTGCTTTTATTTGCACTTGGGGATTTTGTTCTTACATTATGCAGCCTCCCACATGCTGCAGCTTCTCCCCCTGTTTTCCCGTCTGACGGTTCCCATATCAACACCCATTGGCCCATGTGGGGAAGGAGAGTTCTTGAAATTATCCTGTGGGATTTAAAGCAGTGGTTGCCAACTTTCGGACCTCACGGACTACCAATTGGCGACCGCTGATTTAAAGGACTCTCATAACCAACGGATGAGAAGGGATGTAGTATTACTCTGTAGGTTGCCCATTTCTCTGTTGGGGGCTGGGAAGTACAAGACAAAAGGCACCATAAGATCATGACCCGCAAGGAGCTAACTTACTGTTGATGAAATAAGAAGGCAGTAAATAAAAATCTGTCATGGATAGTTGGGATTCTACGTTGGTTTTGTTTTGTCTTTGTATTGAGGTAGATAGTTTATATACAGGTAAATATTATCTGAAGTGTACAGGTGAATGAGTTTGGACTAGTACCTACACCCATGTAAATTTAAACCCTGTCAAGATACAGAGCGTTTCCATCACCCTAAAAAGCTCCTCATGCCCCTTCCCAGCCGTGTCCCACCCCCACCAGAGGCAGCCACTGTTCTCATCTCCTTTACCATACATCCGTTTTGCTGTTTCTTGACCTTCATTAAAAAAGAAATCATACAGTTTTATGTAAGATTTTTACTTTGTTTTGAAGTGAACTTGTTAGTCTTTTTATAACTATTTTTATAACATCTGTAGCAGTTTTACAAGGAAAGCAGCTTTTTTATATATACTTCCAACTTAAAACCATCTGTATAATCTCTCATATTGGCTGAATTCATTAGACCTAGATTAGTGGGTTATAGTCATTCGATTAATTATCACAAGGTTAATAAGTAACACCAACCTCTTGCCAAACATAGCTTCAACTGTAAGTTTAAAGAAACACAGTGTTCTACACTGCCATTTTAACAAGTTTATTTCTTATAACAAGCATCCATGGTCTAAAAATTACAAGTCAGCTGTCCTTGAAATCATTCAAGCTTTCCAATTATTAAATGAAAGATTTGCGCTTTTAATAGAGAGATGTAGAGAGTAGCTCGACTTCGTAAGGAGAACCTACAGACTAAGGGTAGATTAACTTGATTGTGTTGGTATTTGGACGTCTATTAGCCAACCTTCTTTCCTGTCTTTCTTGCGGAACAAAGAGTAATGATGGATCCAGGGTTTTACATTAGCAAAAGCACCCACACCAGTGCTCCTCCTATTCTCAAGTATCCTTCTTTAAAAGAAGAACCTTGTGCCCTTTATATCAATGTTAATTTTTAAATTTCATTCTTGATTCTACTTATATTCTATATCTCCTACAACTGTGGAAAGAAGTTCAGGAACAAACAGCGATCGCTTTTCACTATAGGAATTGAAAAGGTTTTATAATGGAATGAAAACTTAAGCAAAATCTTGAAATATACATAGATAAAAAGAAAAAGGAAGGAGAAAATCAGAAACAGAGAGAGAGAACATAACATCACACAGGAGCGGAAGAAATGAATAAGTAGAATAATGGCGATAGGGAAACTTGGAAGTCAGGTAAAAGAATCATAGAATCTGAAGAAAGGGGACCTTAGGAATCCCTAGATTTCCTATTGCAGCACAACACCCCCTCTACCACACCCACATCAGATATCCACTGAGCTTCCGCTTGAATCCTACGTGGGGCACGTACTGCCTTCTCATAGGGCCCATTCTTTTTATGGATAGTCATAATGAGGAGACAGTTATTTGTGCTCTAGGCAAGCAGGCACTGTCCCTTTTTGAACATATATATTTAATGGCATACTGTCATTATACTCTAGGGAATTTAATCTGTGCATTAGGAAAGGGGAAGAATGAGTTGTTTCATATAGGGGTTACCTTTTTCTTTTACAGCTTCATTGAGATATAATTCATACAGCATCCTATGCACCATTTTAAATCACACAATCCAATAGTTATTAGTACATTCACAGAGTTGGGTCTCCATTACCACAATCCATTTTTGAACGTTTTTATTACCCCAAAAAGAAAGCCCACACTCCTTAGCTGTCATCCCTCTGAACCTCTCATCTCCCCCAGCCCTATGTAACTACTGATCTACATTCCGTTTCTATCCATTTGCTAAATGGAATTTAGCAAATTCCATTCATATAAATGGAATCATACAGTATGTGGTACTTTGTGACTGGCTTACATAACATGTTTTTAAGGTTCATCCATGTTATAGCATGTATCAGTAGTTCACTTTCTATTGCCAATTTATATTCCATTGTGTGAATATATCACATTTTATTTATCCAGTCGAGTGTCAGTTGGGTGACATTGGATTGTCTCTACTTTTTTGGCTATTATGATAAATGCTGCTGTGAATATTCAGGCACAAGTTTTTATGTGATTATATTGTCAATTCCCATGATATATACCCCTAAGAGTGAAATTTCTGGGTCATACGGTAATTCTCTGTTTATCTGGCTGAGGAACTGCCAGACTGTTTTCCAAAGTGACCACATCACTTTATGTTCCCGCCAGTGGTGGTGAGGGCTCCAGTGTCTCCACATCCTGACCAGCACTTGTTACTGTCTGTCCTCTTTATTGTTATCATCCCAATGGGCATGAAGTGGCATCTCACTGTGGTTCCGATTGACATTTCCTGGTGGCTGGTGGTATCAGGCATGTGTTCATGAGCTTATTGGCTATTTGTATGTCTTCTCTGGAGAAATGTGTATTCACAATTAAAAACCCATTTTTCATTGTTGGTTTGTTTTGTCCTTTTATTGAGTTCTGTATTCTAAATACAATATACATTTTATTCTTTATATGTTTTAAACACAATTCCCTTATCCGGTATATGATTTGTACACATTTTCTCCTAGGTGGGTTATCTTTTCATTTTCTTTATAGTGTCTGGGTTACATGGTTTCAGTCTTTTAATCATTATGGGGTGTCTTTGTTTGTTTTTTTCCCCGTTAAGTTGTAAAATCATGGAGTTTAAATTGTAAAATTCCACAAACCTGGACACTGCTCCTGCTTCTGCATCTCTGCTGCGTCCAGTAGAGTGGCCGTCTGTTAAAGGCTGCATCTCCACAGCCAGCCACCTCTGCCCCTCGACGTTTTCCTCGCAGATCGTTCGGCTTCATGCTTCATGAGATGATAAAATTGTTGGTTGGTTTTCTTACAGGTCAATCGGTTCAGCAAGGTGGAAGACCGCGCCATTTTTGTCACTGACCGTCACCTGTATAAGATGGACCCCACGAAGCAGTACAAGGTGATGAAGACCATCCCTCTGTACAACGTGAGTGTTCTCCGCTTCTCTCCGAGCAAAGGAGGACCAGCCTGGGGTTCGGGAGCCACTGGTGGGCTGACAGTCTGGTCACCGAAACCTTCGGGGCTTTGGGAAGCCTGTGAACCCTTGGATGTTACGCCCATCTTACGTTTTATACAGATGTGCGATTTTCTCTCAGGAGGATCCAAGGCTTCCAGTAGATTCACGAAAGCTTTTTTTTGTGTTTTTAAGCGTAAAGACTCTGCATTCTGTGTGATCTTTCTCTGGTCTTCATTCTACTCACGGCTTCACTGTTGTGATACACAATATGTTTTCTCATTTGTTTTCATAAGGCTTGTTCTTTCTCTATGCCTAATCCTGCTCATTGCTTCAATGTGGTGACACCTAATATCTTTTCTTGTTTATTTTCATAAGGCGTGTTTTTCCATTTGGAAATGGAATCAGGTAGAGGAACAGTAGAGAATTACTTTATGAAAGCATTACCTCTCTTTTAAATGTAAAATGTATGCTGCTCCCAGAAGTTCTTTCCACCAATATATTTTACCTCTGATCTAAACCCACTCGGTGGCTCACTGTCTCCATGGGCTTTCCAGGTTCTGGAATCAGCTTCTTATTTGAAATGAGAAGTTTGGTAGGTGTCTCTTTGAATTTCAATACGAGATTTCTTTTTCATTTTTTCCCCCTGCTGTCTGAGGTCTGCTTAACAAGTGACTATTTGTTCTAATTCTTCAGAAAGATCCTACCAGACCCCAGATCTCTTCATGTGAAAGGTGATTTTCTCTGTCAGTTCTTAATGAGGGAGGTCTGTGCCGGTCCCATGGTAGACTGTATGAGGAATATTATTAAAGAGTCTTTTAAATCCTTTCGGTCTCTGCAAAAGGGAGTAGGAAGGACGTTGTTTTGTAGCTGTATTTCGTTAAATCAGGAGTCTCATTGGTTGTAAGGTACAGAGAAAGCAAATCATTCCTGGTTTTGTTAAATGATGTAGAACATCACTGCGGACGATTGCCGAAATTATTGCCCAGGTTGAGATTTGTCTGCATTATGCACCTCTCTCTCTCTCTCTCTCTCTCTCTCTCTCTCTCTCTCTCTCTCTCTCTCTCACACACACACACACACACACACACACACACACACACACCTTTCTCCCTTTCAGGAGAAGGCTAATGGATTGCAGCTAAGAAAATGCTCTTCTAAGACATTCTTGATTGCATATATTCTTAGCAAAGACTTGTAATCTTATATACCAGTCACAGTTGAAGCCTAATAACCCTGCCGTCTTAAAGTAGGAGGTGAAGGGAGATAAGGGGGTCGGATCAGATTTTGCCTAAGTCTAATGAAGTGTGGAACCAAGCAAACATAAATTGCGGTATGCATTTTATTTCTTTTTCTTATTTTCTGTTAAGTGGAGATCACTCTGGCACAGAATATAAATTCAGTAGCTAAACAACTCTTTGACCTGAAGTTATTTTCCCAACCTACCTTCCTTTTTTATGCCGACTGGTGTATATTTATATTCACGGTTCCCCTTTTCACATGATTACAATTCATGTTCCCAGTGTCATCAAAATGAATGATGTTTAACAATTGTGGCAAATGTTAAACAGTGTCAGCAGGATGGATGCACATGGTCACAGGTGCTCTCAGTACTCGGCCCATATCCCCTGTACCCCCTTATTTTCGAGTACACCAGCCTAACTTCCAGCAGCCAACATCTTTGTCAAAAGGCTATGCTGCCAGACCCACTTTGCCCCATGCACAGAGGGCTGGAAATGCCATCCAATGACTCACAGACGTCGGGGGATAAATACTCCAACACCGTGACCATTGACCGAAGCCATTCTGAGGGGTGTTTTCTACCATTTCCTAGACCTGCCCTGCAGGAGTAAGCGGCAGCTGCCCATGGTGGAAGCTGATGGGCCGTCCTGGCTGCCTCCCCTTGCCTGAACTCCTCTCTACCCCCTTGCCAGTGTCCCTGCACCTCCCAAGTCAGCTCTGTGTGCCCATTAGCCTTTGTCCCAGGGTGTGCTCTGGGAGGAGCCAACTTCAGGGTAGTGGCTAGGAGGGAGCAAGTTGAATGAGATAGGGGACTGCCACCTGGGTTGGTAAAAATGTTTTAAAGTCCAAAGCAAATGTGGCAACATATTAAGTCCGGATAATAAGGACGTAGGTATATGTTATTTTATTCTTTACACCTTTTGTATGATTGAAATATTTTGAAATTAAAAACACGGTTTAAGACAGGGAACCCTTAGAAAAGATAATGCTGATCATAGAGATGAAGCCACTGAGAGGAGGTGAAGGAGAACGATTTTCATGTTAACCATGTTGAGTTTCAGGTGTCGTGAAACTCACAGGTATGCATTTCATAGGTAGTCGAAGGTCTCGTATTGTAGGGAGGGGAAGAATTCAGCACTTACGATAAAAATTTAAAAGCAGATGTGTGTACAGCTGGAGGCTGAAATTATGAGTCTAGAGCAGCGGTTCACAACCTGTGGGTCACCAACCTGTGGGTCGCGACCCCTCTGGGGGTCGAACGACCCTTTCACAGGGGTCGCCTAAGACCTTCGGAAAACACATAATATAATTACATATTGTTTTTGTGATTGATCACTATGCTTTAATTATGTTCAATTTGTAACAATGAAAATACATTCTGCATATCAGATATTTACATTACGATTTAAAACAGTAGCAAAATTACAGTTATGAAGTAGCAATGAAAATAATTTTATGGTTGGGGGTCACCACAACATGAGGAACTATATTGAAGGGTTGCGGCATTAGGAAGGTTGAGAACCACTGGTCTAGAGGGAGGAAGGGGGCAGATTATTCAAGAACATCCATCCATTACATGGTGGGAAAGAGAGAATCGCTGATGGGAATGAAATAAAAAGGAAATCTCTTCTCTATGGCCCTCCATTTTCTCAACTCTTTCTTTAAAAATATATTTTTATTGATTTCAGAGGGAAAGGGAGAGGGACAGAGAGAGATTATCATTGATTAGCTGCCTCCTGCACGCCCCACACTGGGATCGAGCCTGCAACCTGGGCATGTGTCCTGAATGGGAATTGAACCGTGATCTCCTGGTTCATAGGTCGACGCTCAACCACTGAGCCCCGCCGGCCAGGCTCAGCTCTCTTTTAATGTGCTAAACAAGCTCTCATGTTTCCTCAGTTCCATCTGGTTATGGATTATTCTAGGAAAGAAAAGAACTGTGAGAGCACCATGTTTCAGAAGCAGATTGGAAAGTTTTCAGAAATAAGACTAATCGATAAAAGCAAAGAGCTAAGTGTGCCACGCTCCTCTCCTCTCGTGCTCTGCTTTTCCTTGGCTCCCGGGAACAGATTGTGACCATAAACTGTCATAAGGAACACTCCACTGTGTTTCCAATAAGGTTACAGGTGGAAGTAAGGGGGAGGAGCCTGAGGGAGACCCAGGACACACCCCCACCCAGGCTTCAGAGCAGTTCTCAGGGACTGTGTTACCCTGCGGCCCTCAGCAGCATGAAGGCTTAGATAGTCGAAGTTTCGGCCATTCTCTCCGTCTCTGCCTCTCTGTGTGTGTCTTTTTACTGTCAGTTACTTTTCTTTGCAGCATGGGCCAGCACTAGGCTCAGGTCTAAATCAGCCAGCCCAGCACACCATTAGAGTTCGTCCTACACTAACATATTGAACACAGTGTCTCAGATCAGGCCTCACCATAGCAACCAATTCTGCATGAGCCAAAGTGGTATTTTAGTTCCTTGTCAAGTACTTGTAATTCTATGCATAGCCTTCCCTGACTTTTCTTAGTATACCATATATAGCATGGGCAATTAGTACAGTTCCTTTTGAGTACAATTGATCTCTTCCCTCTGCAGTTTTTGACTATTGTCCTTAGTCCCAAGTCCCATTTGGACCTGGGTCACAAATCATGCTGAGTACTGGGGTGGGTCATTAGGTTTTCCCAGTGGGGAAAGGATCAGTGGGAGAGAAGAGCTTCAAATAGGCCAAGTTCATCAGGCTTCCTGGAGTCCTTGGAGTCTGCCCACCTACCCCCCTTCCAATTGCCAGAAGCCCAGTCTCTCTCAAGCAGGACTTAAAACGTGCTACATGTGTAGCAACTTATGGTACATGTATGTGCGTGCAACTATCATCGTTGTGGCCGTTCCTGCGTCCAGTGTGCCAGATCTTTGACTCACCTAGAAAAAGCTGACGTCTGTATTTCCTGTAAAATCCCCTGATTATTAAAAGCCATGCAAGCCAAACAAAGTGTGTCTGGGGCGACACTCAGCCCACAGGCCGCCATTTGCTAATCCTATGTTGAAAGGTCTCTGCTTGTCATTTGTTACTCTACAGGAGCAGTAACCATACTCCAGCAGTTCTCAACCTGTGGGTCGCGACCCCTTTGGCGGTCAAACGACCCTTTCACAGGGGTCGCCTAAGACCATCCTGCATATCAAATATTTACATTATGATTCATAACAGTAGCAATATTACAGTTATGAAGTAGCAACGAAAATTTATGGTTGGGTCACAACATAAGGAACTGTATTTAAAGGGCCAGAAGGTTGAGAACCACTGCCATACTCCTTGGTCTCCTCCATGCCAAACGTTAAAAATTCTAAAATCGATGATGTGTTTTATTCTAGACCTTGTGTAGTAGAAACAGACACGACCCATTCCTCACTTTGAAAAAACCAACAGGGTGTCGGCTTTAGAAGAATGGTTTCTACTTCAGTGAGAAAGTGAAGGAATGAAGGGACTCTTTGGTAGAGGTGTCTTTCCTGCCTGGGGAACTTTCTACCCCCTCGGAGTTCACTGCTACTCCTGTCCCTGCAGCTTATAAGTGTTTGGGGTGGTTTTTTTGCCATATTTGTTTTCTCTCTCTCATGACATTTTGCCACTAAAATGGCCCTGTGTGCATTCTCCTAAGAATAAGGGCATTCTCCTTCATCACCACAGTACTCTTTTCGTATCTAAAAAGTGATTATTTCCATAATATTTAATATCAAACACAACTCACAT